GAAATAACCAACTTAAAATGGAAAATTTTAAAAGAAAAAAAAAAGGAAAAAAAGAAAAAAAAAAATCCCCCCCCCAAAATTTTTTGAACCCCCTTATGATTCATCACCCCCAAACTCAATCTCAGCCTTCCCTTTGTGGTATGGTACCTTGCAGTACAATTTCAGAGAGATCCATACACTTGAACACAAGTTATTGTCTGGAAACTAGAAAAATGCTTATTTTTGGCCCCTTTTTGGCCCCCAATTCCTAAACGTTTCGGGCAATTACCCCCAAACTCAATTCCAGCTTTCCCTTTGTGATATGGAACCTTGTAGTACAATTTCAGAAATATCCAAACACTTACACACAAGTTATTGTCATGAAACTAGAAAAATGCTTGTTTTTTGCCCCTTTTTTGGCCCCTAATTCCTAACATTTTGAGGCAATTACCCCCAAAATCAATTACAGCCTTCCCTTTGTGATATGGAACCTTGTGGTACAATGTCAGAGAGATCCATACACTTACACACAAGTTATTGTCTGGAAGTTACAAAAATGCTTATTGTTGGCCCCTTTTTGGCCCCTAATTCCTTAACTGTTGGTACCATAACCCCCAAAATCAATCCCAACCTTCCTTTCATGGTATTGAACCTTATGGTGAAATTTCATGGAGATCCATTCACTTAAACTAAAGTTAGAGTGCGAAAACCAATGTGTCTTCGGACGACGCCAGACGACGCCGGACGACGACGACGACGACGACGACGACGACGACGACGCCAACGTCATACCAATATACGACCAAAAAATTTTCAATTTTTGCGGTCGTATAAAAAATAATACAGATCTGCAACTTATCTATCAATGTCAAAAACTTTATCTCATAATAAAAATAGATTATTATCTAATTAACAAGAGTGCACACGCTGAAATGTCTCGCCTTCTTTACTAATCATTGATATTATGTTGATAGTCCTAAATATAAAGCTTTATTACAACTGTCACATAAACTTAACATTAACCAAGTCAACTAAACATTGACCAATGAACCATGAAAATGAGGTCAAGGTCAGATGAACCATGCTAGGCAGGCATGTACAGCTAACAATTCTTCCATACAACGATTATAGTTGACCTATTGCTTATAGTTTAAGACCAAAACACAAAAACTTAACACTGAGCAATGAACCTTGAAAATGAGGTCAAGGTCAAATAAAACCTGCGTGACTGACATATAGATTATAAAATATTTCCATACACCAAATATAGTTGAACTATTGCATATAGTATTAGAAAAAAAGACCAAAACTCAAAAACTTAACTTTGACCACTGAACCATGAAAATGAGGTCAAGGTCAGATGACACCTGCCAGCTAGACATGTACACCTTACAATCATTCCATACACCAAATATAGTAGACCTATTGCATACAGTATTAGGAAAAAAGACCAAAACTCAAAAACTTAACTTTGACCACTGAACCATGAAAATGAGGTCAAGGTCAGATGACACCTGCCAGCTAGACATGTACACCTTACAATCATTCCATACACCAAATAAAGTAGACCTATTGCATACAGTATTAGGAAAAAAGACCAAAACTCAAAAACTTAACTTTGACCACTGAACCATGAAAATGAGGTCAAGGTCAGATGACACCTGCCAGCTAGACATGTACACCTTACAATCATTCCATACACCAAATATAGTAGACCTACTGCATACAGTATAAGAAAAACAAACCAAAACTCAAAAACTTAACTATAACCACTGAACCATGAAAATGAGGTCAAGGTCAGATGACACCTGCCAGTTGGACATGTACACCTTACAGTCCTTCCATACACCACATATAGTAGACCTATTGCATACAGTATAAGAAAAACAGACCAAAACACAAAAACTTAACTATAACCACTGAACCATGAAAATGAGGTCAAGGTCAGATGACACCTGCCAGTTGGACATGTACACCTTACAGTCCTTCCATACACCGAATATACTAGACCTATTGCTTATAGTATCTGAGATATGGACTTGACCACCAAAAGTTAACCTTGTTCACTGATCCATGAAATGAGGTCGAGGTCAAGTGGCATGAGGACCTTGCAAGGTACGCACATACCAAATATAGTTATCCTATTACTTACAATAAGAGAGAATTTAACATTACAAAAAATCTTAACTTTTTTTTCAAGTAGTCACTGAACCATGAAAATGAGGTCAAGGACATTGGATATGTGACTGACGGAAATTTCGTAACATGAGGCATCAATATACAAAGTACAATGTATGAAGCATCCAGACCTTCCACCTTCTAAAATATAAAGCTTTTAAGAAGTTAGCTAACGCCGCCGCCGCCGGATCACTATCCCTATGTCGAGCTTTCTGCGACAAAAGTCGCAGGCTCGACAAAAACAAGTTTAGATTCAACACTTAAAGAACCCTATACTGTATATATTTATAAATTTATGTTCAAATTAAACACACAAACTGATTAATTTTCCCAGGGGACCTGCCCTTTATTTCATATGATTTGTTTTTTTGTCTCATACAAGGATATATATGGTTTAGGGGCGGGGATCTCAACCATTTACAAGTTCTTAAACAGGAAGAAGGTGGGAATGACCCCAAGGAACTCACCTTTTATTTCATTTCATTTGTTTTATTGTAACATACAAGAATATATATGGTTTCACGGTGGGCATCTTGACCATTTACAAGTTTTCAAAAAAAAGGAGAGTAGGGGTTACCCCAGGGGACTTCCCCTAAATTTTATTTGCTTTATTTTATTGTCCCATACAAGTACATATATGGTTTAGGGGTGGGGATCTCAACCGTTTACAAGTTTCCAAAAAGAAGGGTGTAGGGTTTACCCCCTTAGACTTCCCCTATATTTCATTTGATTTGATATATTGTCCCATACAAGAATATATATGGTTTCTGGGTGGGAATCTTGACCGTTTACAAGTTATCAAAAATAAAGGGGGGTAGGGGTTATCCCAATGGACTTCCTCTATATTTCATTTGATTAGTTTTATTGTCCCATACAAGAATATATATGGTTTAGGGGAGGGGATCTCAACCGTTTACAAGTTCTTAAACAGAAAGAAGGTGGGGATTATTGTCCCATACAAGAATATATATGGTTTAGGGGTGAGGGATCTTAATCGTTTACAAGTTCTTAAACAGGAAAAAGGTGGGGGTGACCCCAGGGGACTTGACTTCTATTTCATTTGATTTGTTTTATTGTTATATACAAGAAGAAAAATGGTTTCAGGGTGGGGATCTTGACTGTTTACAAATTTTCAAAAAAAGGGGGTGGGGGTTACCCCAGGGGACATCCCCTAAATTTCATTTTATTTGTTTTATTGTCCCAAAAAAAATTATATATGGTTAAGGGGTGGGGATCTCAACTGTTTACAAGTTTTCAAAAAGAAGGGGGTGAAGTTAACCCTCGTGGACTTCCCCTAAATTTTATTTCATTTGTTTTATTGTCCCATACAAGAATAAATATGGTTTAGGGGTGGGGATCTCAACCGTTTACAATTCCTCAAACAGAAGGGGGTGGGGGGTTACCACAATGGACATCCCCTATATTTCATTTGATTTCTTTTATTGTTCCATACAAAAATATATATGGTTTAGGGGTACGGATCTTGACCGTTTATATATCTCAAACAGACACGCTGGGTGTGACCCAAGGGGACTCACCTTTTATTTCATTCGATTTGTAACATACAAGAATATATATGGTTTCAGGGTGGGGAGCTTGCACATTTACAAGTTTTCAAAAAAAAGGAGGGTAGCTGTGAGCCTGAGGACTATCACAATATTTCATTTGATTTGTTTTATTGTCCAATACAAGAATATATATGGTTTAGGAGTAGGGATCTCAACCGTTTACAAGATAAAAGCACATTATCAAATTGAAGGCGGGTAGGGGTAAGAATATATATGATTAACGGACACTTAATTATCTACAAAATGTCTAATAATGAACAGTAAATTCCAAACTTGATTTATACAGTAATACTAGTAAGTTTCAAACTGTATATATACAGTCCTACAGATCTTATCAGAAAACAGAAAATTTTCAAATAAATCTGTCACTCCAATGATTATCATATGCTAAAATATTTCAAAGATCTAATTAATAATGAAAATAAATCATTATCATATGCTGAAATATTTATAATATCTAATTGAACAGAACTATGGTTGTTTAACATAGTACTCTAACATAATTAATAATGTAATACTCTTCAAAATGTCTAATGATATAGCTTATAATCATTACCACTTATGAAATAGATAATTTTCAAATAAATCTGTCACTCCAATTTTTATTCTGAGATAAGACAAATCATAAAATGATACCAATAGTAAAATATTTAAAAATTCTACTTTTGGATAATAAAAATGGTGATTACTCACAAAGGAGACATACTAAAATCTTGAAAATTAATAGAGACCTTCATTAAGTCCCAGGAAACAACATATTTAAATTTGAAAAAAATTTGTTAAAGCGTTTTCATGTTATTGTGCGGACGCTGTTTGGCAGCCGCCAGAACGCCCAGCCGCCCGCCGTATATAACCATTTTAATAACCGATATTTCCTTCGAAAATCCGGTTAAAAATTAAGTAACTATTCTTTTTTGAATTGGGGTTCATTTCTCATTTAAAAAAAATGCACTTCATGAATTGAAATATAGAAATATCTTAAATTGTTTAAAGCTGGTGGAATAAAACATTTTTTTTACTGCAGTTTGCTCAGGTTATAGTTTTAGTGTCTTAGAAATTCACTAATTATTTCAAGTAAATCAATGATAATGATAATTATAACCTAAATAATTGTATAGATATAATTTATCTATCTGAAGTGAATTTCAGATATAATCTATCTGAAGTGAATTTCAGATATAATCTATCTAAAGTGAATTTCAGATATAATCATTCTATGAATGAACAAATGATGAAAGATAGTTGTGTGTATAAATGAAAATTAATAAAACTTACTTATCCTGCCTCACAAAACTAATTCGTTGTAACCATGTGTATATGGTGTTACTGCAATCTGGTCGTGGAAATATCTGTCTCTCCTTGAATGTGAATAAAATAGAAATGCAGATATATTATATCATATTTACATACATGTTGTTCCTAGGATATCAAGATATCAGTTTGCGTTGACTAATCTATATATCACCAGTCTACAATGCACTGACTCCATGTGTCTTGCACACTGGAATCAGTATTGCTATCATTTATTCACATTAAATGCACTTTGACAGTGCCGCTGCTGGTGGACTGGCTGTTTCTCATGATAACATCCAACAAACAGCAAGTGCTTCCATGCTGATGGTACTAAAGACAGTGCTAGGAGCCGTCTTGAACTAACAGTGAATTGAAAGTTTTTGCCCAATGCTGAAGACATCACTGTGACATTCAGATGAAGAAAAACAATAAAACTGCTTCTCCTTTTGTCTTTCGGTTTTTTCATCTGCCTGTAGTAATTTTGTGTCATGCATTGATACACCATATCCTTTCTATTCCATTTCATGCCATTTTTGTGACACATACAAATGTATTATGGTAAATTTTCAATTATTTCAATACTAAATGTACATGTACTTACCCTGGTTCCAACTCTGTACAAGTTGTCCTTAAACAGAGTTCATTGTATTTTTTTAATGTTTAGACATGTTAATATAGTAAAACCCTATTTCTTTTTTTTATCAATGTTTTTTTATGTAATTGATTTCTTGAAATTTTGATCTTTATTCTATTCTATTCTATTCTACCATATAGTGACCGCCTTCAACAAATTGAAGATTATGTCACAGGAAGAAACTTACAACAAGACATAGATTGATATATATACAATTTTTAATAAAATGCTCCGCAGGGCGCAGCTTGATACGACCGCAGAGGTCGAACCCTGAACAGTTGGGGCAAGTATGGACACAACATTCAAGCTTGATACAGCTCTGAATTTGGATTGTGATTAAATATTTGACACAGCATAGGTTTCTGACACAGAATGAATGTGGTCTAAGAACTTAAAAATTTTAAATTGGACATTCACCTATTATGGTCCAATACCCAAAATCTAAATCCATGGTTAGATTCAGCATATCAAAGAACCCCAAGAATTCAATTTTTGATGAAATCAAACAAAGTTTAATTTTGGACTCTTTTGACCTCAATGTGGACAAAGTTGATAACGGGGCCCAAAAATCAAAAATCTAAATACATGGTTAGATTCAGCATATCAAAGAACCCCATATATTCAATTTTTGTTGAAATCAAACAAAGTTTAATTTTGGACCCCGATTTGGACCAACTTGAAAACTGGGCCCATAATCAAAAATCTAAATACATGTTTAGATTCAGCATATCAAAGAACCCAGAGAATTCAATTTTTGTTAAAATCAAACTAAGTTTAATTTTGGACCCTTTGGAACTTAATGTAGACCAATTTGAAAACGGAACCAAAAATTAAGAATCTAAATACATGGTTAGATTCAGCATATCAAAGAACCCCAATTATTCAATTTTTGATGAAATCAAACAAAGTTTAATTTTGGACCCTTTGGACCTCAATGTGGACCAATTAAAAATTCAGCATATTAAAGAACCCCAAGAATTCAAGAATAAAACCCCATTGAAATTGATCAAGAAATAAGCAATTTATACGAAGTATCTTCTTTTGCACAATACTGTGCAATTGAATATTTCTTGCTATTGTGCAATACTGTACAATACTGTACAATTGACAATTTCTTGCTATTGCGCAATATTGTGCTATTGGATATTTCTTGCTATTGCGCAATACTGTGCAATTGAAGATTTCTTGCTATTGCGCAATACTGTGCAATTGAAGATTTCTTGCTATTGTGCAATACTGTGCTATTGAAAATTTCTTGCTATTGCACAATACTTATTATATAATAATTTACACATCCTGTTTGGTGTGTATCTCCTACCATATCATTATTATTTGCTTTTAAATATAAATCAGAAATAACCAACTTAAAATGGAAAATTTTAAAAGAAAAAAAAAAGGAAAAAAAGAAAAGAAAAAAAATCCCCCCCCCCAAATTTTTTGAACCCCCTTATGATTCATCACCCCCAAACTCAATCCCAGCCTTCCCTTTGTGGTATGGTACCTTGCAGTACAATTTCAGAGAGATCCATACACTTGAACACAAGTTATTGTCTGGAAACTAGAAAAATGCTTATTTTTGGCCCCTTTTTGGCCCCCAATTCCTAAACATTTCGGGCAATTACCCCCAAACTCAATTCCAGCTTTCCCTTTGTGATATGGAACCTTGTAGTACAATTTCAGAAATATCCAAACACTTACACACAAGTTATTGTCATGAAACTAGAAAAATGCTGGTTTTTTGCCCCTTTTTTGGCCCCTTATTCCTAAAATTTTGAGGCAATTACCCCCAAAATCAATTAAAGCCTTCCCTTTGTGATATGGAACCTTGTGGTACAATGTCAGAGAGATCCATACACTTACACACAAGTTATTGTCTGGAAGTTACAAAAATGCTTATTTTTGGCCCCTTTTTGGCCCCTAATTCCTTATCTGTTGGTACAATAACCCCCAAAATCAATCCCAGCCTTCCTTTCGTGGTATTGAACCTTATGGTAAAATTTCATGGAGATCCATTCAATTAAACTAAAGTTAGAGTGCGAAAACCAATGTGTCTTCGGACGACGCCGGACGACGCCAGACGACGACGACGACGACGCCAACGTCATACCAATATACGACCAAAAAATTTTCAATTTTTGCGGTCGTATAAAAAATACGAAAAAATGCTTTGTATAATTAAGTATGATGTAATAGTTGAGTTAATATTGATGCTTTGAAATTGAAGATTTGAAAGAGTCTACTGAAGTGCAATTTACAATGTTATCCGGTAGTTTGTTCCAGTCGGTAATAGTTCTTGGAAAATAGGATTCTTTTCTGTACTGTGTTTTGCAGGATGGAATTTGGAAGCTGTACGAATTTGAATGTCTTGTTTGTCTTTTTTGTGGGATTAATTTATTATTTTTAGGTATTGCAACCTTTTCGTATTCAATTTTATAAAGCATTACCAATCTTGAGTCTTTTCTTCTGTTAGAGAGGCTGCGCCATTCAAGATGTTGTAACATGTTACCAACGCTTGAGGTGTTTCTCTATTTGTTGGTAACAAGATGCGCAGCCCTCCTTTGAACTTTTTCAATGCTATCTATGTCTTGTTGTAAGTATGGATCCCAAACAGAGCAAGCATACTCTAGTGATGGTCTTACTAGGGACTTATATGCTTGTTCTTTAATTGATGTTGTGCTTATGTTCAGGTTCCTCCTTAGAAAGCCTAGGGTGCTATTAGCTTTCTTGCATATGTTGTTTATGTGCACATCCCATTTAAGGTTGGAACTGATGGTAACCCCCAGATATTTTGCTGTTGTTACATGTTCTAATGAGTGATTGTGTAATGTGTAGTTAAATGTGATTGGTTTTTTATTTCTGGTGACTGAAATTACATTACACTATCTGGGTGGAATGCCATTTTCCACATGGTTTCCCACGATGCCAGTTTGTCAAGATCTTTTTGTAATGTGGATGCATCGGAATTTGATTTTATTGCCAAATAAACTATTGTGTCGTCTGTACTGTAGATGTTAGACCAGTTGGAATGTCGTTAATACAGAAAGAGACTTGGTCCAAGAACTGACCCCTGTGGAACCCCTGACTCAAACTGCAACATACTCAGATTTTTCCCCCTCTGGAACTACTGCCTGTTTACGATTGCTTAAAAAATTTTGTATCCAGTAATTTAATTCCCCCTGTATCCCATAATGGTGAAGCTTATTAGTTAGAAGAGAATGTGAAACTTTATCAAATGCTTTAGAAAAATCCATGACCAAAATATCTGTTTGTTTACCGTTTTCCATGTTAAGTGAGACATGTACATCATCTATAAATTCAAGTAGTTGTGTTTCACAGGATCGACCTCTGCGAAATCCATGCTGTAAGTGTCAACGAATATTTGTTCCGCCTAACAGAAGTTCCACTGGAAACTTTGTTATAAACAATGTCATAATATCTGTTCCTGTTGGAACACATATTCTATACCATTTATTCCGTTAGGAACATTTACTGTAATATTTATTCCAGTAGAAATGATATTCCAGAATATTGTTTCCATTTGGAACTTATATTATTGTAATATTTCTTGGTCGTTATGGTTACAAACAAGAAGAACCTTGTTGTATCAATACATGTTTCACGCAGAAGGAAGCGTTGAATGGATTTAGACGTTTAGTGGGAAAGTCAGTGGTTGGGTCCAAGGGTATGGGGGTGTTTGAGAGGGATTCTTGTGTTCGGTATCGGGAACATCTAGAGAACACCCCTATCCAGTAAATAGTGTATTCGCCCTGGAGTATATAAGTGGGTGAGGAATACAATTCGGGTTCTGTCGATATTCTCATTAAGAAGACCAGTGTACAAGAGTAAGGCACGTTACATAGCTGTAAGTGATATTGTCGAGGACAACTTGTACTGGGGACAACTTGTACTGGGTACAAGTTGGTCTAACATATAGGAAGTTGGCAGAGCAGACTGTCCCATACAGAGGACGGACTGCAATAACCCCCACTGTCTGGTAGTGACAGACTGTCCCACTCGGAGGACAGCTGTACCAGCAGCACTGTCTGGTATTGACAGACTGTACCAGCCACACTGTCTTGTAGTGACAGACCGTCCCATCTGGAGGACAGGCTGTAAGATTGTATTATATTTGTATATATATATATAATTGTTAGTCGTTACTTTATATCGGCAAAGAGCCTGTGTGTATATTTTAGTTAATTGTGTGTAACATAGATAGTTAATAATATTGCCGTATTGTTTATGGACAGCTTGAATCCAAGTATTTACTGGAACGTTCGATTGAAATATAAACGCCTGGTTACACGTTACATTATGAAGGAACTTCTATTCCGTGACATAGGGGATATAAAATGTTGTGATTATCTGCATGTGTCATGATGTGTTTAACTACTATCTGTTCTAAAAGTTTGCAACAAATACATGTGAGAGATATAGGGCGGTAGTTTTCAGGATTATATTTTTGGCCTTTTTTGTATACAGGAGAGACATGGGCAGCTGTTGAAAGTTAACCATAAACACGGTCGGTATGGACAGAGCAGATTGTTTGTGAATCGAACCTGATGCGTTAATTAATTCATAGAATATAATACTGGTGATTCATGTAGTGATTCTTTGTGTTTTTTTGCAATGTTTTTGTAAAATATTTAATACTTCGACTTACAAACTAATCAGGAAGTCAAGTTTTTACAGTAGTTTGGGATTCGATGTCGGGTATCTGTTCGTTCCGGCCCCAAACCGATCTAGCTCCTACAATGGAATCCGCTTGAATTTGCACAAAGACTAAGTATCGATGATTAATGACACCAGCTAAGTGAAGTATGCATGGGACTATGATACTAATATAGTATGATAGTCCCAGAGTATGCCTAGTATTGGACAGTTGGAGTAAAATTCAGATGGCTTAATGCACTGTTTTTTTCACAGCATCATCATGTAAATATGAAGTTATTTTCCATTACCTAATTCACACATTGAAGAGATAAATATATATTTAGATTCCAATG